TATACAAGCTTAACAAAGCATTTTTAATGAGAGGATAGTAGACAGGGAATAAAAAACTGAACCTAGTTCTCCTGTAGTCAATTGGTGAAGCATTAGAAAGCAAACAAGTGGGTGAGGCATACTACACAGCACAATACATCAGTGCATGGATAACAACAAATCACAAGAAAACTACGACATCAGTTGAAGAGTAACAACACATTCTTTTGCACCAGTAATATTATGTTTGCTGGGAGGAAATTGAATAGTTGTGGACCTCTTCAGTGTTCAGTGTTCCCTAGAACCACAATACTGGACCTAACTATAGAACACGGCAACACCAGACAATGAATGCAACAAATATTTTAATTTGTAAAAGCTCTGCAGTTTGCAAGTCACATCCGTAAAATTCAGATGAATAATAGGGAGTGCCACAAACTGGAATGACTTAACGTTACAGGGAGTTTTGAGATTCATTTAAGTATATAAAGACTCTACGCAATGTGGAGTGGAACAGATTACAAACCGTATGTATGAACAAAATTAGTTAAGCGGCTCCAAAACGACCCTCTCCAATGAGACTCAAGATTCATGCCAAGTAACTTTCAGTCATACACACAGTTTCCAGAGACATTAGAAAGAAATTTTTTTCCAATGTCTTCTGAGAGCTTGGTTCAACAGGCTGTCGCAGCCTACAGGCCCCTATATCCACCACAGCCTGGTTCGTCCAGCACTTCTTTGAGAAAATCTAGTTTTCTCTATGTTCATGGTTGTTCCCGCAATTTTTTTTATACTCGCTAGAACATGTTGAACAAATGTGGACCTCTGATGGCATTAGAGTAAATTTTCTAAAATTTCTAGCGAGTACATTTGGAGAGCTGTAAGACTATCCCAATAATTTAGGTGCTTTATCACATCTGTATGCCGTACATGTTCTCTGTACGCCCTCTATTTCAGCAATCTCTCCTGCTCTGAAGGGAAAACTAATGAGCAGTGCTCAAGATGGGACAGCACACGTGATCTGAAGAGTACAACCATTGTGATGAGATCCCTGGATTTGAAAATTCTCATAATTCATCCTATCATTTTTCTGGACGATGCAATATTTGCTTGTATTAAGTGCCATGTATTATGTTTAAGGTTCTCATTTTTACCGCACGCGAGTTCCTGGAATTTATCACTGTTAAACATGTTATTGTCTGCTACAGTGTCAAAAACTTTATTAATATCTGCTTGTAGTTTTCCAATGTCTTCAACAGAGGTAATTTTCATGCTTATTTATGTGTCATGTGTAAAGGATGATACAAAGACTTTGTAAGTTCTTTATTTTCTCCCAGTCTATTATTAAAATTTAATTTACTGAATAAACCTTCTCGTTTGTTGTTTCTCTTGGGCCTACTACCGTTATTAATGTTAGTTTGCACTTCAATGAGCTTGTGGTCCCAGTATGTAGTGTCTGAGATTGTAATGTCTGAATAACTCATCATTGTTCGTGATCAGGTCTAGGTCCAGCGTGTTTTCGTTCCTAGTTGGTTCTGTAATCTGCTGATTGAGCGAGACTGTCACCGAATCTCGGTGGTTCTCCGACTTGTGGTTGGTTATTTCCAGGTTATTTCCTGCTATAATGTTATTGTTTACTATTCTCCATTTTAAACTGGGTAGATTGAAGTCTCCAAGGAAGGTAATATCTGGTACTGGGTTTGCTAGGTGAGCAAGGATATTCTCTTTATTAATAACACCCCCACCCTCTCTCCAGAACGTCAACGAATGCCGTGTAAAGAAATGGAAATGATCGAGATAAAGCTATCAAAATCTTAACATGCAAGAGGCAGAAAACAAAAGGCTATCAGAGAAAGGAATAAAAGATTTTTCTCCCCTGAAAAAGCTAGAGGGCAAATTACATCTAGCATAAGGGAAATGAAACCTTCAGAGATAACAAAGAAGAGTGAAATACAGAGGATACAACATGATTATTTTAAGTGAGCCCCTAAACACACTAAACATTAATAATCGAAACAAATTCTTCAGGAATGTAATAACCAAACCAATTATCTGATGTAACCACCTGAATCTTAAATAGCCATAAACAGTATGCTCAATGCACTGCACCAGACCCCAATTCCTGGAATTTCATACGCCAAGATTTGGGAGAAAAAGAAAAAAAACTTACCTGTATTTGCCCTTAACATTACTATTAGGAGATGGAGCCTAGATACTGCCATTACCCCCAACATACTTAACCCTTTATCCGCGCAACGCGCCTGCAGGCCCACGCCTGGGGTGCACTACGTGCCTCCAGGTATTTGTATTTTTCACGTTCCATTCAAAACTCCCGGGGCTATATGGGGTTCACATCAGCTTCCTCAGGGCTCTTGTAAACAGACACCATCTTTAAAAAAAATCGTGGTCCACATTCCCAGGTGTGAGAGACTCGGTAGTGAGTGAGCAACCAAGGCCCAGTATGTGTGTGTGCATGTGTGCGCGTGCGTGTGTGTGCATGTGTGCGCGTGCGTGTGTGTGTGTGTGTGTGTGTTTACAAATAAACTTGGTCAATTATGTATTTACAGGATTTAGTAACCAGTATTGTGATAACAGGATTTTGGTGATAATAAGCACTGTGCGTAGTATTGTGGGATGAGTAATTGTGGTGAGGGAAAGAATCGAGGTAGCCTTGCTTTATGGCAAGCCACTCTTGTTTTGCTCATCATACTAGCTTAGTGGTTCGCTATGGTGAACACATTTGTACATGGGTATATACAATGTGTGTGTATATAGTGTAATAACAGCAACAGGAGTATGTTGGGAGGAGCTATTTTGGCGAGGGAGGTGACGTAATCGTAGTGTCGTCTGCTGGCTGCTGTGTGATTTCTCATGCAGTGTATTGTGGCCACTGTAAAGTTTGGACACAATACCGGCTTACTTGCATAGTTATGGTAAATAAAACATGAAGATAGGTATACATAACATGTGTAAATATTGTAATACAAACAATAACAGTATGGTGGGAGGAACAATGTTGGAGGAGTGAGGGTGTGGCAGCTGACACACTCAACACACACTCAGAACTCGCAGAGTTCTGAGTGTGTGTTCTTATAAAATATAAATATATATAAAATATTTTATATCTGCATATAAAATTCTGAGTGTTTTCATGGTGAAAGTATATAGTGTGTAAATAGACTGTATATACAATAGGGCCTCGACTTACTATGTTAATCCATTCCCAGAGACGGATTGCAAGTCGAAGTGATTTTTCCCATAAGAAATAAAGGGAATTTAATTAATCTGTTCCCCACCCTCCAAAATATTAACATACAAATACATTTTATACTGAATACAATGTTTTTTCTAACTACAATACAGTACCTAAGTTTATCTTACCTTTATGGAGGGCTCTTGATGGTGAATGGAAGATGGTGATGAGGGGGGGAGGAGGAGAGTTGTTACTGTTTGGAAGGGGATTCCCCTTCCATTATCACATCAGGCAGTGATGTTTTCTCTGGGGTACTCCTCTCCTACGTTTTGCCTGAATACCACTAGGACCTGGTTGTGGTTCAGTGCTTGTTTGTCTCACTACAAATTTGTCAAGAGACATTTGTTTTTCCATTCGTTTTAATATTTGTCTGTAATAATACATCCCAGTGTCATTGAATAAGTTAAGGCAACGACCTACTGCAGCTTGATTTGGGCGAGTCATTTCAGCAAAGGTTTGCAATTCTTCCCATGCTGCACACATTTTCTTAATTGTTGAGGAAGAAACATTCTATACTGGCACATCCTCCCCTGAAGAAATTTCTTCAGCTGTCAAATCGCCACTCGCATTACCACACAACACAAAAGTAAACTGATCTTTCATAGGCTTGTGCCCAGGCAATGACTTCTCCTTGGTAATGTATGTTTTCTTTGGCAATCTTTTCCAGAATAGCCCTGTCTCGTCACAATTAAACACTTGTTGTGGTAGGTATGCCTCACTCTGCACAAAATCTTTAAATTCGCCAATGAATCTTTCAGCCGCTGGTTTGTCTGAGCTGGCAGCCTCCCCATACCTCACAACACTATGAATTCCACTTCTTTTTCAAAATTTCTCAAACCATCCCCTGCTCGCCTTAAACTCTTTCACTTCTGCATCACTCGTTCCAGGTTTTTTTTTTAAAAGGTCTTCATGCAATTTTCTTGCCTTTTCACAAATGATGGCCTCCGAAACACTATCACCTGCTAACTCCTTGTTGTGTACCCAAATTAATAATAACTGTTCAACATCCTCAAGTGTTTGTGTTCTATGTTTTGTGATTATTGATACGCCTTTTGCTACTTTAGCACTCATAATGTCCTATGTCTTAGCCAGTATGGTGGCTAAGAAGTGGATATCGTTGACATTTGTTGTACTGCCTAGCCAGTTCAACAACCCGCACACCATCTACATATTTACGAATGATCTCGTTTCTGTTCTATGGTCATTCTTACATGGGATTTCATATGCTGAGCCTTACCACCGACTTTCCTGGGACTCTGGGTGTGATATATAAGAATTACTTTAATGTTCAAAATGCAAAAAATCACCACAAATGCAGAATTTCTTATAGGCGTGATCGTCACTAAGCAGTCAGCTCTAGTAAACCGAGGCAGGTCGGACCGTGTGACCAGGAACCATGCGCTCGGTCGACCCGAATGTGTACCAACAAATATTTGAAGTCGATGACACCATCCGATGTCGAGTCGCATTTTTCAATGAAATTTACACAGCAACTCGAAATTATCGTAAGTAGAGGCAATCGTAAGTCGAGGTGCCACTGTATACATAAATTGGCATAATACAATGGAAATGTGTGCCAGATATGTGTACACGTCATGCACGTAACAGTGTCTTCAGACAGTACGGATGTTGTACTGCCATAATATAGTGTACGTGTTCATTATACATAGGATTGGCACGTAAAAGCATATAAAATGTATTTGGAACTGTGCGCAGAAAATGAAAAATATATTCGCAGTAACTCGCGCATCCTGCCCAGAGCGCCCTACCGGCCCTGGGGGCGAATGCCACGGGCGACCAGGGAATGATGACGTCACGCACGAACTTAAGGACCCCATAGCAGCTAAAGTATTTACAATTTCGACCTTCTGTTACTATACCCTTACTCAGGGAAGGATTTGACACTTTAAAACAGAAAATAATTTTTTCCAGAGATTTTATTTCCTGCTGGAGAGGGGGTAAGGGGGGATGTCATATTTGGAGGCTGTGAAGTTAACACTTCGATGCTCTGGGCGCACATGCGCCACACTACTCCGGGTGGGTTTGGGCATTCCGCGGGAGCACGTGGTAATTCTGAAAAGTGTATAATCTTTTCAACTTTGTTACCTCAATTCTCGTCCTAGGTTTTTCCAATTTGGTATCATTGTGTTCGCAATGGAATTCTCTACAGGACTAAATGCATATTTTAGTCCAAATGCCCAGCATACCATCTACAACAAACAGAGAAAACGAGAGCATGTTACCTGGGAGCGTGCAGGACCGATAAAATGTGTACACTCCTTTCACTTTGGTCACCTCAATTCTCGTCCTAGATCTTTCATTTTGGTATCAATGTGTTTGCAATAGAATTCTCTACAGGACTAAATGCATATAATGTCAAAAACAGCTGCATGCTCCGCTGACAAGATGAAAGTTACCAGAAAGAGAATCACCGCCCCAAGGCGCCTCTCATTACAATAGAGCGTGCGGTCATACCAAAATGTGTACTCTCTCCAACATCGTCATCTCAATTCTCGTCTTCGGTTTTTCAATTTGGTATCAATGTGTTTGCAATAGAATTCTCTACAGGACTAAATGCACATCAAGCCCAAAAGCCAGGAGAGAAAGTGAGAGCGTGTAACCCGGGAGTGTGCAAGAGCAATAAGATGTGTACACTTCAATTTGAACATCTCAATTCTCGTCCTAGATCTTTCATTTTTGTGTCATTGTGTTCGCAATAGAATGCCCTACTGGAGAATATGCAAATATAAAGTCCAAAAGCCCGGCGTCCCACCCACAGCAAACAGAGAATATGACGGTGCATTACACCAGTGAGCGCTAATAAAGAGCAATAAAATGTGAATACTCTTTTCAACTTTTGTTACCTCAATTCTGGTCCTAGGTCTTTCATTTTGGTATCAATGTATTTGCAATGAAATTCCCTACAGGTGTATGTGCATATATAATGTCCAAAACCGTGGCACGCCCCTCCTGAAACGCGCCGCCAATTTGCCGCTAGAAATGACACTGCTTGGTCGTTACCGGACTAACCAGAGTAAAAAAAAAAACGACAATGCTGCATCATTACCGAGCCAAAGTATTAAGGGGTTAAAACAGCAGAGAGATGGCACCAATCCATAAAAGATGAAATAAAGCAGAGGCAAAGAAAATAAACCAATAGCACTAACACCACACATCATAATCTTTGAAACAGTGCCAAGACTGATTGATCACAAAATAAATGAAATTACAACTGTGTAGCGAGTAAACCTATACCCGCTCCATTATCTCATCATCTTAATGGCATAACTAATTACACAAGCTATAATCCTATCCCTATTTACAGGTAACAGTTTTTCCACCCTCCTATCTTACTGTGAGGTGTAGTAACCGTATGTAAGCCAGCGATTTGAGAATAGCAAACCAGTACAATCTCCAGTCAAGAATGTAGTACTCGGTGCAGTCAGTTCTAATCGACCCAAGACGCTACAGCTTCGACACAGAGCAGACAGCAGACTACGACCGCATCCAGCTACAACGCTCTCCCACATAGAGCTCCACGACTCCGGCCACACTCGGCTCTCTGCTCTGCTCCAGGCTTCGTCTCAACGTCTACAACACTGCTGTATCCAGGACTACTAAATAAATATGAAACTCACTAAACACTGTATCTAATCAACCCAACAACGTAATATAATGGTACGTTACAACTGCTACATAAACCCGAGCAACAGATTTCATAACAAAATTTGACAAGTATGACAATGGTGTTATTGCACTCAAAAGTAATTACTGGCAAAGTAGGAAAATTAACATTTAATTTCTTAACAAATAGGACCCCAGTGTCTAATAGCAAAGCAAAATCAGGATCATCCACCATGATATGCTCGGCATCTGAGGGTACTTTGCTTGTTCCAGTATTTTTTCTCATATCAGACAAACTCTAGTACCATATCACCCTTTGCAAATGACACCAATTTTTTTATGAGAATATAGAAGACACATCAAACCACCAAACTGAAGTTAATCAGGGCATTCAAAGGGCCAAAGAAAATAGTATGATCTAGCCCCTGTGCTATAGGAATTTTTTTTATAAAAATGGATATGCATAAAAAAGCAACAAACCTCATTATAAAACGAGAAAGCATTATAAAAGAGTGGGGAATAATGTCCATCACAGTCAAAGGCAGTTGTTTACTGTGACTGGCTGCTACAGCACGAGTCCGATGCCATTTACGGAACACCAAAGTTATGTACTCGCAAACCCAATGTACCTCTTGAATATAAATAAAAAATAAATAAAGTTGTCAGGCAGGGCAGTCTGCCTCCGAGGCCACCAGCTAGAAGGAAGGTAGCAGAGAATCTGAACCTTACCATCCTAATCCCCCAATCAAAGATTTAGACATGGCTGGAGGGGTGGAGGATATTTATGGGAGGGGTCAGGTGTGGGAAAGGGGAGGAAGATGATGTAATGGGGATCAGGGGAGCGGAGGAAGAGGGATCAAGCGTGACCACTGCAAATCTGAAATTCTGCCTGCTCAAACCCACCCAAAACTGTGCTTGCCTACCAGTCGGCCATCAATCAATCAATCCATGCATGCAAAGCCATCAATCAATCCATGCATGCATGCATCCATTCATCCACCCACCCACCCTCCAGTCAGCCACCTACCTACCCACCCACCCCCGTCCAGGAGAGACCAATCCATCCAACCACCCACTAGTCAGCCAGTTACTCATTCATCCTGCTTGATGGGATTCCTGAGAGTTCTGACTTGTGGCCTGGTCTGTGGCCTGCCTGCCTGCCTGCCTTCCCAAACCATCCAAGTCACAATAATGTGGCTTGAAGATACGAGACCGAAAAAAATAATCTTTCCTGCCTCTACTCTTCACAGACGCTGTCTTGTCGAATCTACTTCGATACACAACATGCCCAACACGAACCTTAGTCCTCGCTTTGTTGCTGTTGACTCTTCCCTTTCTTACATTCCCATTTTTAACTCATTATAACCCATTACACCTCATTATTACACCCATTCTAGCCGTATCTATTTTCTTCTCACCTTCCTCTAGGAATTTTCTCCTTGCTTCTGCTCCTTTCTCTTGCCTTACCTAATGCCCGTGCCTCCCTCGCTCCCATCATAATTGACCTAACAACGGTCCAGGACGGACCAAAACGTTGTCGTCTCATCTTCTGGAGTGTGGTTTAGTTCTCATGACCAAACAATTAGACATTTTAAAACCTCCAGATTTAGCCGAGCCCCTGATTTAACGACCTAGGTACAGCCCTATACATGTCATTAAATTGAGTGAATACTATTAATTTAACACTTTCGTCCGGCGAGGACTCTATGCCAAGTCGTCCGTAAAACGGGCAAGTCCGACAAGGACTCGGCATCGAGTCCTCCGTGCGGCAACAGTAGCGGCGTTTTCGGGAAGGTCTTGCTGCGGTTTTGGACATTATATGCATATACTCTTGTAGGGAATTTCATTGCGAATATATTGATACGAAAATGAAAGTCCTAGGACAAGAATTGAGATGACAAAGTTGAAAAGAAAATACACTTTTCATAATGAGAGGCGCCTTGGGATAGCGCAGTGCTCTTGTAACCGCAGCCTGTTTTCATCACGTCGGCGGGTGGAGATCGCTGCTCTTTTTGACATTATATGCATATAATCCTGTTGGGAATTTTATTGCAAACCCATTGATACCAAAATGAAAGACCTAGGACGATAATTGAGGTGACCAAAGTGAAAAGACTAAACATTTTATCCCTTTTGAGCCCTCCCGGGACACTCGCTTGCACTTGCTCAGTTTGCTGCGGGTGGTAAGCCGGGGTTATGGAGCTTATATGCATTTCATCCGCTAGAGAATTCCATTGCGAACACATTGATACCAAATTGAATATTGTAGGACGAAAATTGAGGTGACAAAGTTGAAGAGTATACACTTTTCAGAATTTCCGCGTGCTCCCGTGAAACGCCCAAACCCACCTGGGGTAGTGGGAAGGTCGGGCGCCCGGTGAGCGAAAGTGTCAAGATGAGAGTAACAAGACTCAAGTACAGTATTTTATCTTATAAACTACACATGAAATTTTAATCTGTAAAGCAGCTTACCGTCTGCCAGGATACCTTAAGTTGTGGCTGGCAGGCGGCTTGTAGGCAGCTTGAGGAGAGAGACCATTATACTGCAAGAAGCTGTTGATATCAAACCCTGGTGGCGTCCACTGCATCATGTTCGGATAGAACTGGAAAGATAAAATGAAATTATATTATGCACATTAGAAACCTAACTGCCTATTACTACAAACTTAAACACATGTGAGAGAGTAAAGGAATGAATGGGGAAGGCGGTCAAAACACTGAAATAAACATTATCAAACTTTAAATAGAAAAAAAAACAAAAAAAAACCTTTCTCCATTGTAACACTGCTGTATAATCTACGGGGGAAAATTAAAAAAAAAAAAAAATTTATTTTTATTTGGTCATTGTGAAGTGCCATCAAATGGTGGTGATGCACCTTACATGGTGGCCATATTTATACTATGGCCCAGTTAGGAAATTAAGAATTTTTTTTTCCCCTAAAATGATAAACAATTGCTAATGGTTTCTAGCAATGAATACAGCCATAGAATTTTTTGGGACTTCCGAATGTTACAATGCACACCTAGAAATTGTCATCCACACTTCCGCGCAAGTGTGGATGCCAAGTCTATAGAGTTTTGGCCACCGTACACGGGTCCACAGTTCGAGTCTCCTAGAGCCCAGGTGAAGGTACGCCTTATTTTCCATAGCCGATAGGCACACTACTCGCCTAGTTGTGTTTGGGCTCTTTGGTCCAGCCTCTACTGTAAATCTACTGGTGAAGAGGTTCCCGAGCTTACTTAGCTCTCTCGCATCTACATTTTAAATTATGTATAGCATCTGCCTCCACCACATCACTTCCTAATGCATTCCATTTATTAACTACCGATACTGAAAAGAACGTTCTTTCTAATGTCTGTGGCTCATTAGGGTACTCGGTTGCCACTTGTAATCCCTTGTGCGAGTACCGCTGATGCTTAATAACGTCCTTATCTACCCTGTCCATTCACCAGAGAATTTTGTACGTGGTGGTCATGCCTCTCCAAACTGTGTTTTCCAGCGACGTGAGTTGCAATTTACACACTTCACTAACTCACTTTCAACCTCACTTTCCTCGTAACTAATGGCTCCAAGTTCTGGAACTAGTCTACTGGCATATTTTGAACCTTCGAGCTTCTTCTTGGGCTTGACAAGGAATGGGCACCATGTTGGAACTGCATACTCCAGGATTGGTCTTGTGTGGTATACAAGGTTTTAAATGAATCCTTAAACAAGTTTCTAAAGGCAGTTCTGATGTTAGCCAGCCTCACCTCGTGTCCATTTCCTGAGAGCGACAGCAGCATTTTAACCCTCATACTGTATACACTAAACTAGATCAATTTCCTGTGGTGCATTAAAAAAAATTTCCTTCTTATATATCAAAACATTTATTTTATAGGGTAAAAAGAAAAATTGCAATATTAGTCTGATGAAAAAGTGTGGTGAACAAATTTTGAAACCAAAACTAAATGCTTAAAAATTGGACAACGTAACTATTTACTCGAGATTGCTCATCACCAGTATCATCCAGGTACACACACCTGGAAAAAGGCTAACAGTTCCAATCTACATAAGTGGAAGCAGGGAAGACCCCCTTAATTATAGACCGGTATCATTGACAAGTGTAAGTCAAAATATTGGAAAAAATAATTAAAACTAAATGGGTAGAACACCTGGAGAGAAATGATATAATATCAGACAGACAGTATGGTTTTCAATCTGGAAGATCCTGTGTATCGAATTTACTTAGTTTCTATGATCGAGCAACAGAGATATTACAGGAAAGAGATGGTTGGGTTGACTGCATCTATCTGGACCTAAAAAAGGCTTTCGACAGAGTTCCACATAAGAGGTTGTTCTGGAAACTGGAAAATATTGGAGGGGTGACAGGTAAGCTTCTAACATGGATGAAAAATTTTCTGACTGATAGAAAAATGAGGGCAGTGATCTGAGGCAAAGTATTGGACTGGAGAAATGTCACAAGTGGAGTACCACAGGGTTCAGTTCTTGCGCCAGTGATGTTTATTGTCTACATAAATGATCTACCAGTTGGTATACAGAATTATATGAACATGTTTGCTAATGACGCAAAGATAATAGGAAGGATAAGAAACTTAGATGATTGTCATGCCCTTCAAGATGACCTGGACAAAAGTATCTGGAGTACCACTTGGCAAATGGAATTTAATGTTAATAAATGCCATGTTATGGAATGTGGAATAGGAGAACAGACCCCACACAACCTATATATTATGTGAGAAATCTTTAAAGAATTCTGATAAAGAAAGATCTAGGGGTGGTTCTAGATAGAAAACTATCACCCGAGGACCACAAAGAATATTGTGCGAGGAGCCTATGCCACGCTTTCTACCTTCAGAATTGCTTTTAAATACATGGATGGCGATATACTAAAGAAATTGTTCACAACTTTTGTTAGGCCAAAGCTAGAATATGCAGCAGCTGTGTGGTGCCCATATCTTAAGAAGCACATCAACAAACTGGAAAAGGTGCAAAGACATGCTACCAAGTGGCTCCCAGAACTGAAGGGCAAGAGCTACGAGGAGAGGTTAGAGGCATTAAATATGCCAAAACTAGAAGACAGGAAAAAGAGGTGATATGATCACTACATACAAAATAGTAACAGGAATTGATAAAATCGATAGGGAAGATTTCCTGAGACCTGGAACTTTATATCTATGACCTCTTGTTCTTAAACTAGCTAAACACAGATGCCGAAGAAATACAAGAAAATTCACTTTCGCAAACAGTGGTAGACGGTTGGAACAAGTTAGGTGAGAAGGTGGTGGAGGCCAAGACCGTCAGTAGTTTCAAAGCGTTATATGACAAAGAGTGCTGGGAAGACAGGACACCACGAGCGTAGCTCTCATCCTGTAACTACACTTAGGTAATTACACACACACACAAAAAAAAAAATTTGCATGGTGTATATAGTTTCTTTATGGACGACTAATGGACATTTGGCCAATTCTCAGAAAGGAAGGAAAGATTTTCAGGGTTTTTCCAAATTGGAAAAAGATTGCCAGTGGTCTCTATTGTTGAATCATATACACATTGAACTTTTCAAATCTTGAATATTACAGGGCACGTTACATCTCCATCGACAATGGGCCAATCAATCGCTTGTACTGGACGTGCAAGTGTCCAAATCAGCGAGAGTGACAGTCTCGGTTCATGCAGGTCGGCGTTCAATCTCCGACAGTCCAAGTAGTTGGCCACCATTCCCCGTCCCATCCCAAATCCTTATCCTGATCCCCTTTCAAGTGCTATATAGTCGTTTATAGCACTTGAAAGAGGCACGTATATTTCCCCTGATAATTCCCTCCCCTCCCACCACTGACAATGGATGCACAGATCCCTAGAGCTTGAGATTTTAACATTTAAGAGTTAAAGGTCACCCCTCCCCCCCCCAACAAGTCAACTTTAAAACAGTGGTTCCCAACCATTTTGAATTTGTGGCCATATTTTCTCCCAACCAATGCTCTAGGATGATCTAATTTACATTCCTTCATATTACCCTTTACATAAATTATTCATTATATAAAATTGTAAAGTTATTTCCGTGATAGTATTTGAAAGACCTGAAAAGTTTAATAAATGATAGTGTAAATTGTGCTTCCAAACAAGAATTGTTGTTGTTGTTACTGTTTAACAAACACTACTGGCTAAGTTGGCAGCACTCGGGTTGCAGTCTTAAGGGTCTAGGTTAGATTCCCAGCCAAGACACAAACAAAAATGGGCAGTTTCTTTCACCTGATGCAACTGTTCACCTAGCAGTAAATGTATACTTAGGAGTTAAGACAGCTGCTATGGGCTGCTTCCTGGGGATGTGCGCGCACTTGTGTAAAGAGAAATACATGTAGTAGTCATAATAGGAAGAAAATAAATCAGAAAGACCGAGGTCCAAGAGCTAATAGCTCAATTCTGCAGGCACAAATAGTAAATACACAAACCTACAGCTGGCAACTCTCCATTATTGCAAGATTTTCTAATGACTAAAGTGTATATAAATAAAATGTAAAATCAACAAATTTCTTTTGAAACTCAAAATATGCAAAAACTGATATAATGAGCCAAGAAACTGCAAACATTACAGGGCAGAGGTGGTGAGTAATGGTGATTGAAATGCTCTGGAAATGTTGGACAATACAAAGATTATGGTACCTAAAATTTGAAAAGATAACCTAACAATGAGGAATATTATTTTCATAAATGCAAGACAAGGGATGGAATGCACAAAATACTTCTTGGATACACACGAGATAAGGCCAGCCTACGACACTAAGAGCACTATCACACTAAGAGTACACAAATACTTACAAAAGCAGTAGGCATTGGCGTGGTGGGCGTAGTGTACGAGTACGAGTAGGAGCTATTATTGACAGAAGTTGGTGTAGAATACATAAACCTCTGGTACCCTGGGTTGTTGTAATTATTAGAAGGAGCTTGGGTTCCAGGTCCCCCTGGGAGACCTGCTGATCCAGGAGTCGAGGGTGGAGCCTGACCTTCTTTACCCTCTCCTCCCTTATTTCCGTACGACGGTAATACTGATAAGCATCCTAGTCTTGACATTGGTTTGGTCTTTATTCTTGCAAGAATAGGATTACCCTGCAAGATAAATAATGTATATTTACAATAATTTAATTGTGATAATTAAAAAATTTTAATATTAATTATCAGTGAACATAAGGCCTACAACCCCACTCCTTAACTAAGACAGGCTTTAAAAGCTGGCATAGTGTTCAGACAAATATTTATAATTAACTGAGCACCTATTGTTGAATATTAGTATAATTTTACATTAAAATGCTTTATACTTGCTCTATAGTCCAATACAAAAATTTATGTTTAAACACTGCTCTACTGCACAGCTGCACAGTAAAAAAAATGTTAACATGGTCACGAGTATTAAAAAAAAAAAGAAGTTAATATGGTCATGATACAACAAGAACACTAATAACCAAATGCAAATGTTTGAGAATTTGATCAAAAGGACCCAACTTTTCAATACTATCCCTCTAAACCTCTTGCAGCATTCAAAAGAACTTAACCCCCCCCCCCAAAGACTTCAACAGCCAGGTTGACCAGACCACTACCCAGGAGGCCTGGTGACAGACCAGCCCATGGGGACGTTGATCCTCTGAACAAACAAAAGTAAATCATGGTATCCTATTTCACTTCGGATTTATCCCTCGATATTTCATTAACATTATACTATTTTGCCATTATGTTTCATTTTTCTTACTTTTAGATATTTATGTTAATAAATATTCATTTATATTCCCATTTTTTATATCTTTCCTCAGGATACACAATTTCAAATCTCAATTCAAGCACAGTGATTGCTATACTATACTTTACAAAAGCCAACGTGTACAATTGGAGTTTCAGGTACTGCACTTTATTAATTAAACATTGTACTGTCCTCATCTGTAAGATGCATGTCAAGTTTCCTAAATATTTTAAGTTTTTATGACTACTTTATACTTTACATTCTAAATGACTATACCACTAGATACCTACACCAAATGTCAGATGCATTAGTATTTACAAGCTTTGGAACTTTTCAAAATTTAAGTTGCCAAAACAAGTGTAGTTCCCAGAGGAGCACAGTATAACTACTTATGATGAGCGGGTGTATAATCAATCGCCTTACCTTGAAAGTTTTAACAACTCCACGAAGGAACCAGTAAGCTTTTTGTGCGTCCTCGTCAGATTCAAATGTGACATACCATGACGAATTGTGGACAAATTCACACGACACCACCTTTGGACACTCGTCACTCTTAAACATAGACTGCAATATAAAAAATAGTTATCAATAACACTTAATTGTATTGGAATAGAGAAGATTTTAAATTGGCCAAAATACTTTCAGAAAATTTTTAATAGTACACATACGTTGCCTAAATACTTTGAAACAAAATGTAATTAGATTGCATTAGGGCAATTAACCCTTCCACTGCGCAATTCATATGCATATGTTTTAGACCACCACACTATTTATTGAAAGGTTTGTTAGTGGTTTTGCAAGAATGGTACACTCAAACCCCAATGTATGTTACTCCTTTAACCCAATGTACAGAACTTCATTTTATAAAAAATTCAAGTCCTGCACATACTTGGGGCTACAAGGGTACAACTGTATTTGCCACATATTCCATTTTAGGTTGCATAAGTTGAACTTCCCAAGCAGGATGATGATTGGGGTTGTAAGGTTTTCTAACCAATATTCTATTTTTGTAAATTAGTCTTTAAAATGGTGAGGATTTGCATCTGGTGATTTATACAAGAACACCACTACATTTATAATTTCTATTTTGATTATCAGCACTTCCACCATGTCAATTGTGGTGTTTAGCAGCTCTGTGCAGACAAGCAACTCTTTGATGTGCACGTTAATGTGTCACTAATATGCACACCATATTTTTAATATAGTAATATTTCACACATAATATAAATTTATCATATATCACACAAATAATACTGGTGAGAAAAAAAATTAGAGTAAAAATCTTCACAACTCCTGACACAGCTAGAAATGGGCAGACTGTTACGGGCAACTGCTTTGTCAAAAGCCCCTAAATTACCAGACTAAGTTCATCATGGCCAAAGTGAAAAGATAAAAAAAAATCCCCTCCCTTCCCCTGATCATGAGTCTTAATATTAAAATTATTTTTTACCTGCACACCAAAGGGTTGATGGGGAATAACACACAATTACCCCATGGGTTAATCAATCCAATTTTTACTATATTTGTACTGTATGCAGGAGTATTTCATACCAAGGCAGTAAAATGGTCATTCACATGGGCTGGAAGGAGTTTTTTTTTTTTTTTTTTTTTTTTTTTTTTTTTTGCAGGGAAATTTTTGTGCAGGCCCTAAGGCCCCAGCTGGCCCACTAAGTGTTACTTGTTTCCGTTTTACTTAGGCGGAGCACGAGTATTTATGACTCGAATGGTCATGTGTTTAACAATGACTTCTGCTCTGTTGAATCCAAGTTGAAATCTTAATGGGTTTGTAACTGTGCACTGTGTTAGATAATGTTTTAGTGGTCTGTTGGGCATTTCTCCACAATGCAAAGGAGTAGTTGGGTCCAACAGAGTGGGGCTGAGTAGAGGTAGCACTGGATGTGGGCAGGTGGAGTGGAGGTATGGAGGCTTGGGTAGTCGCCCAGTTGTGCTTATGGGGGTTTAGCTTCCACTCTGTTAATCTCTTAATTAAATGTTTATCTGGATAATCTATCAACTGTCAAAAAAAAAAAAAAAAAAAAAAAAAAAAAAAAAAAAAAAAAAATTGATGCCATCAAAATTGATGACAAAATTTGTGGTTATTCAATCGCCAACCAAACACAAAATGCTAAACTCGCCTCAATTTCATCAACTGGTGTAGATTCTGGTATTTCTCTAAGAATCACAATACAACGCTTGTAGTTAGGCCGCACTCTGTTATTCTCTTCATCCAACTGCACAAAAGGGGATTCTGAAAAAGTAATGCATAAAAATTAGTTAAATTTCTCAAAAATAATATAAGATCATTATTTGATTTTATAACAATGAAATTCAGTTGATAGAAAATTAATATTAAAGAAAATAGCAAGACAGCTAGAGAGTTTGGAAGACTTCCAGATTCAATCTATACACAACTGACCAAGAACTGCCATTCTAGAACCCTTTTCTAAATTAGTTTTGCACAACATAATTTACCCACAAAAGTATAGTAGAAAACAATGACGGGCATTAATTATTATAAACTAGGTCTAAATATTATGAGCACATTTTCAATTCGCGCATTTCTGGCAAGACTTTACCCTTCACCAACCCCCCCTCCTCCCCACCCAGCAAACTACTAAGCAAGTATTTAACCCTTAAACCGCGCATATATATACATACATATATATATGATATCGGTGACAAAACCGAAACCGCGCACATCATTTATATATGCTTTCGTGTCTAGCGCTATAATTTAACGCCCCGCCTGGGATAGGGGCAGCTATAGTACAGCCATGACCGATAGTTGCCAGATGCCACCTAGAAAAAAATACAGGCCAACATTCTTGGGTGTGAGGGCGTCAGTATTGGGTAAGCCACCAAGGCTGACGCACGCAGCACGAGCTTACAGTACCGCTATTCAGCTTTTGACCACAGCATCGCCTACAAATGCCATAATATATATGATCATGCTATAATTTAGTGATGATAGTATTATAAAAGACCCCTGACTGATAAAACTGACCAGGATTCTGATAATAGCAGGATTGTGGTGATATTTAGCGCTGTGCTCCACGGAGGGAGGAGTAAGGCTGTGGGAGGGAGGATGGTGGCGTCGTCTTCTGACTGTGTGTGGCCTCCTTTTATTGACTGCACTCACCATACCAGCTTAGTGGTTCACTATGGTGAACACAAATGTAGATACTTATATATAACGTGTGTATAGAGTGATAACAGCAATAGGAGTAGGTTGGGAGCCGCCATTTTGGTGAGGGAGGTGTGTCGTATGCACAACTTGTCATGTTGTTTACTGGTGGCCATTATGGTCTTTGGGCACCATACCAGCTTATTTGTACAGGTATGGTGAATAAAACAGGTACATACTTATATATAATGTGTGTATATAGCATAATAACACCAAGAACATTATTGTTTAGGAGAAATATTAGTATGTCTGGCCTTGAGGGCAGCCGCCACCAGCTGATTGTGAGAGTAGTCTTTACTCACCATACAAGCTTAGATGTACAGTTATGGTGAACAAAACAAGTAAATACTTATATATAACGTCTGTGTATAGTGAATAGCGGTCACTCCTCGTTGCTTTTTGACTCAAGACCAACTTAATGGTTCGTTATAGTGAACAAAACATACAAATACTTATGCAATTGACAATCACTAAACACTGATCATTTGTATGTGGAAAAACCACAAAGAAATGGGAAAGAGATGAACGTTTCGGCCTATTAAAGCCTTTGTCAACACCAGACAAATACAAATACTTGTATATAACCTGTGTATATAGTGTAACAACAGCAAAACTATTTGTTTGTTGTTTTATAACATAATTGAATCACTAATATGCACACCATAATTTTGAGTACAGCGATGGTTCACACATTTTATTATATAAATATATCACAATTCACTGTATTGAATATTATTACCGAAAAAAAAAAAAAATCAGAGACATTGAAATAATTAAGTAATAATATTTTTGTGGCAACTGTCGCCCGACAGCTCAAGCGGAGTAGACCTCGTCTGGCGAAGGCTCTGTCAACGCCCCTTTTTTGCCAGACTTCCCTACCCTATTGCTGCTAAAATATGCCACCTACGATTTTTTTGGTATTTTTTCCATGATCACGGAACAAAAATGAACACTTCTATAAGATTACAGAATTTTTTGGATTTTTTTTTTTGTTGCGCCTGTGGGTGTTTAATCCATTTGCGCCCCTAGCGGTTTGAGGGTTAACAATCAACTAATATTTTCATTCATGTCAAAAACAAAATAGATAAAGAATATGCACCAAATTCTTGATATCTTGAACCATCGATCTCAGATGGGGTAAGTGGTTGGGCACCATTTCTTCCCTCCATCCTATCCCATATCCTTGAATCTCCTCCAAGTACTACAGTCATACTGGTTTAGTGCACTCCTCATAATTACCTTACCTATGTAATAGATATGCTGAGAGATCAACATCAAAGACCCAAGACTGTTCAACATTCTTCCACTACACATAAGGGACATAACTGTCCGGATTCTCATGGTGTTCAAAAGATAAATCTTAACATCTCCAAAGGAAACCTGACCAACCAGGCTGTGATTCTTATGTCAGGCTGTGTGCAGTTGCATCCCACAGCCTGGTTGACCAGAACACCAACCAGGAGACCTGCTCACAGATCAGCCCGTGGGTGGTGGTGATCCTAGGAATCATACGGTAGCCGCAATGCCAAAGGTATGCTTAAAATTGTCGTATCATTCTAATGATAAACTACACGATATATGTATATCTTTCAAATCTTCAGTCGAATGTTGCTAACTTTATGCCAAAAACAGTTTGATTTACACTGCTCTAACCTGTATAGTTCAACCATTTTTGCAATGCTTTGTGTATGTTGTTACAAAGAGTAATTCTGACTATGGTTTCAAGGCACTTTTAATAAGAAAAATCCTAACATAGTATGCAAGGATTGTGTAATTGAATTTATTGTAAATATAATTTATACAGCAGAAAAAAATTGTACATTAGTCTTCAAGACTAGTTTGACTAAATTCGATTTCAAAGCACTTTTGCATGAAAATCAAAATTTGTCCTGGGTCATACAGTTGGGCCACTTTATGTTAGTACAATTGAAGTATCAGGTTTAGATTAGGAAGAATGAGAACTAATTGAAGAGATTCTAAAATAATTGTATTTACTAATTGGATATTTTAATTTAATTGGAGTTGAAGAATAGAGAATATCAATACAGAAAATATTTGCCAACGTCCAAAAAAAGAATGTATAAATGATTTATTGGAATCCAAGTCTTCGGTAGGTAACTTTTGCTGCATTAATGAAGTTGATGTTTGTGCCACGAATCTTGGCAGTGGCAGAAGCTAATTACAGGAAGCGCATCATCAATTGGGTCTTGGGGATTTTTTTTTTAACAATGAATTCCAGTTAATTTTTGAGGATGGGTTGAAAATAAGACTACTCTCAACTACAACATGCTACCAACTAATATACAGAAACAACAACAAAATATCATCCTTTTTCTATCCTACTAACATTTACCAAGAAATATAAACTGTTACTATATATAACGAAATCCCCTAAAACGCATGATAATTTAAAAAAACAACTCCAATAAAATCATTGGTACACACTTTAAAAAAAATAACTGGATGAATACATTCAAAACAAGTTAATTGTCTTAGGAGAAATACAAATTTGGTAGAAACCATAAAATAATTAAATAACGTACCTTTAAGTGCCTCAACGATGATACTATGGTCCTTTGTTATATTTTTGAACTGTGAGCAGTTGGCCAAAATAAACACTGGAACATACTGATCACTATCCATTTGTGATATTAAGTAGGGATCATTGCTCAAGTTCTCTCTGCAAGAAAAAGATATTCCTAAGAACCCACTATAATTGACAAATAAGGTCATAACATTTATTTGAATATAGGATCGTTAACCCTTAAACTGCTGAGCATAAGGGTATAATTCTAAAAATATTTGAATTGTCAAAATTACTTAAAAATGTAAACAAATCTCCAACTTATTGGCTTCAGCATCATGACTTTCAATAAAATATTTTCAGAAATTGATTTTAGACGAATATTTAAAGAAAAAAAAAAAAAGTTTTGTTGATAAGAAGAGGTCCTATCAACTGTAACTGATGGATAATGACGTAATAATAATGATGTGCGTCGGACAGATGCAAGCACCTGTCCGACGCACAACAAAGACAAATAGTAGCAAGAAGTGTCCACAACGTGGATGTGCAGCTGGTGCCTTTATAGCATTGCTGAGTAATACATAATAAATAATAATGAGTAAATATGTTGTTATGCTCTATTTTGTTATATATCATAAATACATTGCCCAATGCTGTCATCAGTTACTTTCAACTATGTTCAAAAAATATTTTTTTAGGGGATTATTTTTAATAATTTTTTCCTCATTTATAATTTGAATTTGTTGTAACCTATACATTCTAGAGAATGCATACAACTATTTGAAGAAAATTAAATTTGTCAACAAATAAATCAGTCAACTCTCAGAACTTGGTACTTTGAATTTTATTTGGCTGATTTTTTCACAGATTTCAAACTATATTTTCCTTGTTTCTTTAGGTTGTTTTGATGATTGGGAACCAGATTAGGGATTTTTTTTTTACTTATATAAAGTATACCCTAAATCATTATAATTATCATTATCCTTATTATCCTTATAGTTTTTAAAAGGGTGGGGGACTCCATTTCAACATATAGTGACCTACAACTTTCACATATTTGAGTCTGAATGCCAAACACTATTACAACATGAGTAAATTCATGAATTAGTACCGCCTTATTCATTGCCTTCAACTTCAATTATATTAGAATTTTAACTCGCTTCAGTATCCAAAAATCTAGTTTCAGACCAATTCTCACCATTTTAACATACTGTATAGTGCGCACAGCTGTCTTTTCTACAAACCCCATATAAATGATTTTTCATAAACTAAACGTTTGGAGTTATAAATTTTTGTTGTCTACATTTGGGCATATTTCAAATGCCATATTGACAATTTTTGTTTACAGTAAACTATACTGAATACCTATATTCTAAATATATGAAAACGAAGATCATATGCTATTCTGAGAGCATAACAACACCAAATGAACACACAGAAATCACAATTGAGTAATGCATCAAATGAATAAATCCACAAGGGCCGTGACGAGGATTCGAACCTGCATCCGAAAGCATCCCAGACACTGCCTTAATCGACTGAGCTACGACATGGTCAAAGGTTTGACCATGTCATAGACATTGACATGAACTTCAGTTCAGTTATAACTCCTTTTGACCATGTCGTAGCTCAGTCGATTAAGGCAGCGTCTGGGATGCTCTCTGACACAGGTTCGAATCCTCGTCACGGCCCTTGTGGATTTGTTCATCAAATGAACAGTTGCTGGTGTTATATATTTTTGCAGCTGATTTCAAAGTCTGAAGTTTTCAATATTCAATTTTAGAATTGTTATATTTTCTTTTCCTTTTTTCAAGTTACACTGGTATCATTTAGACAAAGTTGGAGCATTTGCCTAGTAGATAATGCACAAAACATTTGAAAAAGTGTTTTTAAAAAATTAAAAAACCGAGCTCAATGTCACACATCATATGACGTTTTGCGCAGTTTAAGGGTTAAGGCAAAGAACAATGGGTATTTCTGTAAGTAATCGAGGATAAAACCAGCCTTGACTAATGAAACGCAAATTTCTGGACAAGCCCCGGTGGCTGTCTGAAGTCACCATCTCCGATGTATGTGCCATCACTGAGCTCTGTTTTTGTGTATTTATGTTTAATGTTTATTTATACCATCTAGTAGAAAGGCACCCAGAAAGTCAGCAACTTTAAACAAACTACAGCTGGCTGCTTCCAAAGACTTGTAGACCTTGACAACAGCCATAGAACTCTCAGAACTTCATAACCTATCGAAAATGTTATAAAACTAGTACAGTATTAGCTCGTTCACCCCACCCTCCTTTTTTGGAGGCAACATTCAACAATGGTTTTCTTTGGGGGGGGGGGCCTTTTTGTGAAGTCCTGAAGCTAACTACCCACAGAAGGAATAAAGGGACCAGGAAGCATCACAGGTATCAGAAAAAAGAAGAGTCAGTCAAGGAAGCAGACCTAAGGAGGTTGTGAGGATGAAGGGCACCAAGTCCCAGGCAGCGATCGGATATAGGGCCACCAGAACCCCGGTCGACCTCCAAAATCCACGTGCCCTAATATCAGCCCTGGACATTAGCACAGCAGCGTCATAATTTTAGCTGTCACGGGCACAAGGGCAGACCACAGGCTGGCTACATCTGATAAGGATTATCTTTGGAACAGGGAACAAAGGAACATGCTCAACCCACAAGGCATCCACAGATACAGAAGCAGTGGCACGAAGGTAGTGACGTATTGCCTCCACTGGAGGCAAAACAATGCAACCCCAGCAGATCCAACCAAGCAGCAACCATCAACTCACCCCTCGAGAAACCAACAGACTAACCATCAACTCACCCCTCGAGAAACCAACAGACTATCTTTGCAAAAAAAAGAAGGAGCCAGCCGCAGCCGAACCCCCCCCCCCCCATGACCAAAAGAACAAAAACCCTAGGACAAAAGGATAAAGCACGAGCAAGAATCTCGCCAACATGAAAACCAAAAACCAGGGGGGAAAATACTTGAGAGCAATCCTGGACTCAAGGGGACTAAGCAGAATGGACCAGGTCTCTGGACACGGTCCAAAGACCAAGAATGCTCTGACCGTGCATGAGCAGGCCAGAGGCAAAATAATGCGCAAGACAACCTGTGAAACAGATCCGAGGAAGTATTGACCCCGAATGCAAGCTGCAGTGGCTCTGCCAGCGCCACGAAAGGAAAGGACCAACTACTCAAAAACAGACGAACAATGGCAGACAGAGGAAGTGACGAAACGACTGCCAAAAAACGCCCAACGCAGCCACCTGATCGCCATAAGCCTGGCGATACATCTGCATAAGGAACTCTAGGCACGAAGAGCAGAGGTCAAACCAATGAAGTACATTGGTGTACCAAACTTTTGGTAATTGCGGAGCTGCAGAAAAACTAACAGGCGCAGACAAGCAGCACAGGAAACCAAAAATAACCAGAAGGATCACCTACCCCTTATAGAACTCAAACTGCACCAGGACCAGTGGAAAGGGGAACAGAAACCCTAACCTACACCAGTCCAGCTGAAAGGTGTCCTCCACTAGGGCCAAAGTCGAGGAACAGCACATTATACATGGGCGAGTAAAGAGCTCCCCCCCCACCCCCCAAAGTTCTGGGAGTTCGTCTACTCCCCAAGCCCGGCCCGAGGCCAGGCTTGACTTGTGAGAGTTTGGTCCACCAGGCTGTTGCTTGGAGCGGCCCGCAGGCCCACATACCCACCACAGCCCGGTTTGTCCAGCACTCCTTGGAGGAATAAATCTAGTTTCCTCTTGAAAATGTCCACGGTTGTTCCGGCAATATTTCTTATGCTTGCTGGGAGGACGTTGAACAACCGCGGACCTCTGATGTTTATACAGTGTTCTCTGATTGTGCCTATGGCACCTTTGCTCTTCACTGGTTCTATTCTACATTTTCTTCCATATCGTTCACTCCAGTACGTTGTTATTTTACCGTGTAGATTTGGTACTTGGCCCTCCAGTAGCTTCCAGGTGTATATTATTTGATATCTCTCTCGTCTTCATTCTAGCGAGTACATTTGGAGGACTTTGAGACGATCCCAATAATTTAGGTGCTTTATTGCGTCTATGCGTGCCGTATATGTTCTCTGTATTCCCTCTATTTCAGCAATCTCTCCTGCTCTGAAGGGGGAAGTGAGTAGCTGAAAACTCCATCATACTGTACACCCAATGAAGAAAAACCCATTTCCCAAACCAGCTCGATGATCTCTGGTAACAAAGCCCCAGGGCTAAGGCACCCATGAAGATGTCTAGCATGGGCAGAGGAAAGCACCAAGGAACCAAACCCTGAAAAGTTTCAAAGAGGAAATCAGCAAAACAACAGCCGATGCCATGCTAACAGTCTGCACCCACCGGTTGCGAGGAAAGAGGGTTGTTCCGGAGGAACCAGTACATCTTCAGACGCCAAACTCGGCCCAGGAGAAACCCAAGGAGGGCCAAGAGCTCCCGCACAGCCGCTTGAGCAACCGCCAAGGCACTTGAGGGTCCATTCAACATGAAGGTGGTGCTGAAGCCAGGAGAATCATCCTCCAGAAATGGGAGCGGAGAAAAAAAGCTAGGTGTAAAAAGACCGAAAGCCCATACGGAATCTAGAGAAAAAGCCTAGAGCCTGCCAGCGAACGGCCCACGGGCCCACCACAGCCTGGTTGGTCCAGAAACCATCTAGTTTTCTCTTTATGTCCACAGTTGTTCCAACAACCTCTCATACTGTACTAGCTGGGAGGATGTTGAACAAACGTGGACCTCTGATGTTTATAGCGTTCTCCAATTGTGCCTATGGCACCCCTGCTCTTCACTGGTCCAATTTATATTTTTTTCCCCTAGTATTCATTTCAGTATACAATGTGTTATTTTACCGTGTAGATTTGGGACCTGGCCCTCCAGTACTTTCCGTATGACTTAGTTGAGCCGCTCTCATCTCCTTTCTAGCAAGTACATTTGGAGTGCTTTGAGACGATCCCAATAATTTAGGTGCTTTATCGTATCTATGTATGCTGTGTATGTTCTCTCTACTCCCTCTATTTCAGTAATCTCATCTGCTCTAAAGGGGGAATCGAGTACTGAGCAGCACTTAAGATGGGACAGCACAAGTGATTTGAAAAGTATAACTTCTGTGATGGGATCCCTGGATCTGAAACAAACAGTAGCATACAAGAAATGGCTTTGGAGGAAAGTCAAATTTTTTTATACCCAGATGAAAGTTTTCAAAAGGTGTCACAACTGTGTCACCAATGATGCCACAGCCAAACCCCTTGCAAGAGGACTACTCCAAAGCACACCCACGTTCTCAGTGAGCCAAACGGAATCCAACTCAAGGAAGTGTGGGGGGGAGGGGGGAGCACAATGCCCAATTGTATATGGTCATGAAGGTCATCCGCTACAACTTAAGCCAACAGCAAAGGAACTTGTGCATGTGTGGAAAATTTCCACCAAAACTATAGTACTGTATAACGTGTGAGAGCAACATCGTCTATGAGAACACATGGACCAGGCATGACAATTTATAGAATAAGCCAAGCTCTCAAGACAGTTTTAGGTCAGCTTATTTTGACCATCTGAGAACACACCATCCCAGGGGAGGCAATTATAATGGTTTCATACCAGGATATGAATTAAATCTAATAGCAATAAGCATATTGTAATGCTGTACTCCAAAATAAATACACACCAATATATAATAGTTTAACCAGATACTTTTGGTTAACGATTCTATAAATCGATCCTTAAAACACGCAGCTAAATAAGAAGGCCCAGAACCCTCAAGGGTTCAACTCTTTAACCAAGAATCAACTGCTTCTACCCCAGAATCAGAAAGGGTGACCCCAAAATCCATATCCCAAACTAAACACTGGCCTCCCAACCCAAAACCCTATGACGCTTCAGAGCCATCTAGCTAAGATGGCTGAGAAAACCTATCTTCGCACGCTGAAGTGCAGCTCTCGTGAAACCCAGTGCACCCCACCAGTCAAGACGCTCTAGCTGGGGAAAGGACATGCACACATATTCAAGGAACTTTAAAACCAAAGATGCCAGAGCATGTGGCAGACCCGATACTGGTACACATCAGTGGAGAACTGACAGGGTGGCCTGTGAGCCGTGGCTGCTCCCTGCCTCCACCTAAACAAGGAAGGAAGGGCAAACAAATGGGCATTAGTTTAATATTTTTGATTGTTTACATAGTTTGGGGAGTTCTATAGTCGTTTTAGTCTGCAGGTATCAATGGCAGCCAGCTTTGGTGATGGCACAAATAAATAACTTGAATACCACAGTCCCCTGTGCCTCTGAGGGAACCAGGTTCTAACTCTGGGTTCCCAGTAGGCCAAAGAACTCCACAACTGATGGAATCTTCATTGGAGATAGTGACTTCAAAGAGCCTCAAGGGCCTCCCTCCAGAAAATGAGTCTTACAACAACTTCAGTATCAAGAAAATTTTCTGAATGATATAACAGTATAGCAGCAAATTTAAGATGTAACTTTTATGATTTAGAAGAAAGTGTTTTACTATATAAATATGAATATATATTTATAGCTATATATAAATATTTTTAAAACAAAAATGGAAGAAAATTTTTAAAATTTACAAAATGTATAAATGATGACTAACCTTGAAAAAAAGTATTCAACCTGTTGAGCTACGTGTTGCTTTATCTGGTCCCGACTGAGTGGTTGTGTCTGCTGAATTGACTGCTGGGGCTGAGCAGGTGGAGTGACTGCTGGCGTACTTGGTGTGGGAGTTTGCGCAGGAGTGGTCTGTGTCCCCTGCGTTTCACTGGAGGAGAGATGCTCTTTGCTCTTATTTTCAAATGACTGTTCTTTCTTCTCCGACTCTTCAGGCACACTGCTATTACTAAGCGGAGGGGTTGGCAGCGAAGCAGGGAGGGGGGAGGCACTTGACCGACTGCTCTCCGGGGACACTTCCCCATTCTGCTGCATACTACCGAGAGGAATGCATGCCGTTGCAGACCCCTCTTGCTCATTACTTTGTGCTGCTGCCATTTCCTCTGTTGTGATGGGACTAATAGCAGTCTTTCCAGGGGGCTGACCTGCCGTGGTACCACCCTCTACAGGTAGTGTGTTGGGAGAGGAGGCAGCGGTGGCCTCCACAGGAGACTCTACTGCCATGGGGCCCGGAGTATCAGGAGTGGGGGGGCACACCCCGCAATACTGTTTGGCCACATCCCCATTCATGAAGGGGTAAACTGAAAACAAACATTTAAAATTCTTTAATATGAAATGATTAAAATATATGGAGACTTGTCACAACAAAAAATATTGAAGCTAAACTATACAGTACACCATATTTTAATTATACAACACCTAGCTGTAATGTAAAACCCAAAAGCAAATTACGCAATATACAGTAATCGGAAAAATTAAAAGTTCAAGTAGCATACGATAAGTACCTGTACAAAAAGTTTCAGCATAACTTAGGTTATTTTGAGATGATTTCAGGGTTTAGCATCCCAGTCCTCAACCAGGCCTCCTTTTTGTTAACCCCCCCCCCCCCCAGTAGCTCCCAGGTACCTATTTACTGCTAGGTAACAGGGGCATCAGGGTGAAAAACTCTGGCCATTTGTTTCTGCCTCCACCGGGGATCGAACCTGAAACCTCAGGACTACAAACCCGAAGCGCTGTTCATTCAACTGTCAGGCCCCATATAAATGCACATATATATTACAAATAGTAAAGAGTACAGACAAGGAATAAAGACAATCACAAATAGAGGAACAGAACTTCTACACCACAAACCCAACATGGAGGCGTGTGGCAGATGTTTTAAATTACTTCGGAAGTGTTGTAGGGATTGTATGTAACATTTGTAACTAAAGATTTTACCAGAGCTGTACAGAATTACCTACACACTATGCAAACAGGCAAGGTACCTACTGGACCTGTCACAATAGGAGTGAAATGGGAAAACATCAACGAACTAATGAATGACATTCCTGGAGCACACTGGCTACCATTCACACAAAAGCTGCCAGAAATATATGCAGATTATGCAAAAACAATGAACATGGAACAACCAAGGGACTGATAGTTTAGAGAGCCAATTAGCATTGTGTCGAGGTACAGAAAAATGACGACAATATTGAAGAGTCAACCAGTAATATAAATAAGGAGAGAAAAAATGAGAAAAACATGAACAAAAATGAGCAACAAGGAGAAAGATAACAGCAATACCGAGAAAGAATGCAGAAACTAAAAAGTTTCAGACTGCCCTAAAACAGACGTGGCCAAGGCATTCACAGGTATAAATAACCAGAATAAAATCACAAATTAAAATCTATACAGATACTGTATTATGCAAAAGGAATGTGCAGATATGAGACCAGAGGCTTAGAATGCACATTCATGCATCCCCAAAAATGCCTAAACATGTTAGGGAGATTCAGATGTTTTGCAGCTATATCCACCATGAGCTATCAAACTCTCAATGAGAAGAAAAGTTATGATATTCAGTGCCCTGATTTCCACACGAGAGGTACATAGCGCTATAAGAGAGGGCCAACATAGAAACCCTGAAAGTTTTTTAAAGGCAGGCAGAAACAGAAAGAAGAGAGAGAGGAACAGACAGACAGACAACCGATGCAGGAGTACAGATAGGGAGGGGGAAAAGGCCCAAAACTGGACTACAATTCATCTCACAAACTACACCCCCCAACTACACAGAAATTACCACACTCCCCAGTACCACTACCAAAACTTGACGAACCATTGCCAGAACAGCACACTCTGGGTCAGGGGTCGAGAGGGAGAACTACCAAAACCCACCAGAAGTTAACTCAATATTGAAAATCATTCATATTTACAAATGTACAAGGCCTAAACTCAAAATCAAGAAATAAAGTTAAGTTCATAAATGGCTTCCTATTAAGAGTCAAACAATATTTGGGGCATTCACAGAAACTCGTACTAAAGATTACATAGATGTGACAGAGAAACTAGGTCAAATGGAGAAGTAGTTCTGTATATTAAAGAGGACCTGGTATGCACAAAGCTACTAAACTCAACTAATGAGGCGGTAGAGGTACTTAGAATTAAGGCAGAAAAATAAACTTAATTATTCTAATATATAAACTGCCAGATACAACGGTTGAGGAATTCACAGAACAGATGCACAAAATAGAGAAAATCCTTCATACTCTAGCAAATCCAGCTCCAGATATCTTCCTTGGATTGGTGGTGGTGTTTCAGATTTAGCTACTCAGAACGAAGTGTCCATGTAGCACGGGCTATGGCGAGCCCTTAACCGAGTTCGGTTATTCGCGATAACCTTGTTTCTGTGATGTTTGGGTCTAAGTTTAAAATAGAGGAGGGGATTCATCCTTTTTCCGTTTATTTATCGCTTCTGTTTTAGTGCACTGGTTTTGGTCTTGTTATATTAAGCAGACATGACTATCACAAGAAAGTAAAATAAACCTAAACAGGGAGAGCAAGAAAATAGAGCAAACGAAGCGATCATACACAAGGAAATGGAATTTGAACAAAGCTATAACATAAAAAAATCCAACGTATTTTTTCAGGTATGCAAAATCAAAAGCCTCCGCCAGTATTGGACTTTTAATTACAACCGAAGGTACACACACAGAGTACGACAAAGAAATTAGTGAAAGTCTAAGAAGCCAGTGTGAGGCTATGTTTAGCACACCAATAAACATGAAAGTTGGAGATCCAGACAGCAACTTTATCACATCCAAGCTGCAGATAATATACTGTAATGGATATTAACAGGAACTCCGAAAACTTTGAATGAAATTGAAAACATACCCATGCACTCAGCTCCTGGTCCTGACTCGTGTAATTTACCAATAGTGCGAGCACTCAAATGTAATATGGAGGAAGAGCCTGGATATGGCTCTTCTACACAATAGTAGTAGTAAATCTGTCAAAAACATTATAGTCCAGTTGCACTAACATCACACAAGTTTTTGAAAGTGTGATTAGGAATCAAATTTCTAGTTTTATGGAAATTAATGAGCTACACAACCCAGGACAACATGGATTTAGAGCGGGAAAATCCTGTCTGTCACAGTTACTCAAACACTGACATTTACACATTGCCTTAGGTCCATACAACAGGAATTGTATATTTATCAATTGGGAAAGGAGGGGACACTAACCATACCTAAACATTTTATTTATTTATATATACAAGAGTTATTGCATTCTTTTACAGCCACTAGCGCTCATAGCGTTTCAGGCTTAATTCCCCCCCCCCCGGGAACATGACCTGCCAAATTTTTTAAGAACCAGGTACCCATTCACTGCTGGGTGAACAGCGGCTGCAGTTAAGGATTGGCACAGTCAATCCTCCCTGGCCACGATACGAACCCCAGACAAAGTGCTCGCGAAGCACCGGGCAAGTGTCGTACCACTGCACTGCAGCTACTGCTCAAACAAAATCAGGGCCCCATTCCAGATTATTGACACAAACACTTTAAAAACAGCAAAGATCATGCCATTTCACAAAAGTTGGAGCAAAGCAAATTTAAAAATTCGAAACCAATTACACAAATATTACACAGTAAAAATCTTTGCACCAAGTTCAATAAAAGTTGTTTAGTCACAACATCCACAATCCTAGCCAACATGAGCAAGATGCCTCTGCCTTTCAATTATGGCCTTTATGCCATAAAAGGCAAGCAAAACACTGATGTACACTGAAATACAGACTACACTAAAACTTTTGGCAAATGTGACCATAGTTTAACACTTTCGCGCTAACCGGACTCACCGAGGAGTCCTGTTTCGTCTAACGCTACCGCACAGTGGACATAAAGTTATGTCCCCTTTTAAAATATTTGTATAAAATTCAATTTTTATCCGATTTACTTTGGGTTTGTTTCAAACTGCGCGCCATGAGGCTCTCTTTCTCACCACTAGGCTGCATGGTACAATAAGTTCATGAAAGGTGTGGACCACTTCGATCAAATGGTATTATGTCCCAAACGGGTTGCAGGTGGGTGACTTTAGCCGTTTACTTCCCCCATATCATGTATTATATGCATATGTCTGTTTAGGGAATTTTATTCCGATCAATGTACAACCAAAAATAACTGTGTGCAACAAGTATAAACTTGACAAACATTACAAAAGTAAAAACATTTCGTGTGTGTTTGACGCTCACTGATATGTTCCAGCGTTGTTTTATATTTGGCGCTATTCTATCTTACGCTTTGTTGATCTTTTTTACCTATGGGCTCATAGAACATTCTATTGCGAACACATTGACACAAAAATGAATGACGTACATAGAAAATTAATGTCATGAGAGTGAAATAAGTATAAACTTTTAAAGCGCCATGTGTCGTCCCGTCACCGATACCGGGTAACAATTTCACCACTTCCCACACTCTTGCGGGCGGGCCGCATCATTATTCTACGCTTATATTCATATCACCGTGTTGGGAATTTCATTGCGAGTCCATTGATACCAAAATTAACGCTGTAGAACAAGTGTGGAGGTGATAACAATCCCAAGAGTAAAAACATTTTGTTGCTGTTGGGCGCTCACGGCGAGTCATCTTCGTAGTTATTTATTTGGTGCTGGTATATCTTGAGGTTATCTTGAGATGATTTCGGGGCTTTAGTGTCCCCGCGGCCCGGTCCTCGACCAGGCCTCCACCCCCAGGAAGCAGCCCGTGACAGCTGACTAACTCCCAGGTACCTATTTACTGCTAGGTAACAGGAGCATTCAGGGTGAAATCCCTATACGTTTCGTGACTTTTTTTTACTGATGTTCTTCTAGAGAATTTTATTGCGAACACGTTGGTACCAAAATGAAATACGTAGCTCGAGAACTAAGGTCATGAGAGTAAAGAGTATACACATTTTTGTTTTTACGCTTACGCGACAAAACGCCGTGAGCACTTACGGTTGGCTGACTGACCTTCGCGGAGAGCGCGAAAGTGTTAATTCAACACAATGCAAACAAAAGGAATAGTTGTTAATGATACCTGCTTGATGGGGGTTCTGGGAGTTGTTCTATTCCCCAAGCCAAGCCCAAGGCCAGGCTTGATTTTTGAGATGATGGAATCATTAATTTTCTAGCAAACAAACCCTAACAACCCATCTTATGCAGATTAAGCTAGGATTTTGATCACAGCTCCAAACATATGTAAACAAGGTCTCAAAGGTCCTCAGAAAACAAGAAATTTCAGCTGCACTATGGTAAACAGACAAATAAAAATTAAAT